AATCTTTGTTGAAAATTCAACTTGTTATCCAAGTGCTAATCAGATTTAGAGAGCTCGATGGGTTTCCAATGGTCTAGCTGGTTTGCAGATGGATGAGATTGGTAAAAGTGCGTTAATTTTTCACTGGTCTGTCAATGTGTTTCCATTTAAAAGCACGATATTTCAGCACTGAAATGAGGCCTGAGAAGGTAGAGTTCCCTCGCCCACACCCCGCTCATGGCCTTCACTCCTCCTCCCGGGGAGAGCGGAGAAAAGAGGGGGAAATGAAGTGCAGAGGGGTAGCAAGGCCGGAGGGAAGAGAGTAAGACTGAGTGTTGGGAGCAGGGCGGATAAAATAAAGACGAGGCGTCAACAGAGAGGGTTTCATAGTGTCTGAGTAGAATGTGGGTTAAACTGGAGGGCAAAACACAGGAGAAGGCAGAAGGAAGAGATGGTGTTAGGAGAGGAGAGAGCAGGATGATTGAAGCTTCATTTATAACCAAGTGACAGGCAGGAGTTTCGCCTCCCACTGCTTACCTTGAGTTCTGCCCTCGTTTAAGTAACTGTCCTTCCGCGTACCAACCTGCAGACGGAAAGAGAGAAGAGATTTCAGTCCAATAGATCTCAGCATTCTGCCCCATTCATATGCAGGGCAAAAAACACATTATTATTGATACAACAGCAGACTCAACAAGACAGATTGGCCAAGTTATGAGGTTATGTTGTCTGTTCCTCTCTGTTAATGAGCAGAATATCTCAGATTCTTACTGAAATTTGGTGGAAATTAGACATTGGGACCAGGACAAAATGATTAAAGCGCACCATGAAGTAATTTCAGATCAGCACAAAATAAATGTACCGTAACAACCTCCAATAAAAAGCAAGGCGTCCCTAATAGTCAAGGTCTTGTTTAAAGCCTGGTGTGGCTACACGTTTGACAAATAAACGCAGGTTCTCCAATAGGGGCCTGGTCTGGTAATTTATAGAAAATTATCTCGATGTATAAACCTTTCTTAAAACCCCCCGGGTCGGCCGCTTAAGTGGGTTTAAAGTCGCTTCGATCTCCTACACAGATATTAATGTTTACACCTTCTGTCCCAATTATGTACATGCTGCAACATCGTTAAGATCAGTCCACAATTCAATCGTTAATATATTTTCCGAAAACTATCAAACACCAAAGTATAACGTTAAGTTCATTCTGAATTACGGTAAAAGGTAAAAAAGAGAGACAGGAAAAAAACCTCTGTTCTTTTCCTCCAATTATTTACATATAGCCTTCAGTTCATCAAGGTCCACCGTTTAAAAGAATCAAATGGTTTTCATTAAATTAATTCTTAGTGTGAATATTATCATGGTCAGGTCCATTGCTCACTGTATGGCTGGTGCCGTAAAACACGTTGAACGTTCGGTTGTCATGGCGCGCACAGAGAAAATAGCGCCTGTCCCAAATAAAGGCTGGGTGTTCAGTGATTTAAGCAAATAACGCCCGCGGCCGGCAATCTTACGAACAGCCTTCTAGCATCACACCATGGGGTCTACAGTCCGTCTCACCGAACACAACGGAGCGCGGCGAGACACGGCAACGACGCACGCACAGACAAACCATCGACTGTAAAACTGTCTAAAATTGGCCGGGCGTTTATGTTGCTAAATCACTGACCCCAGCCTTTATTTGGAACACGCGTCTATTTTCTCTGTGCCGCGCGCCTATCGACACCGAACGTTAACGCGTTAAACGGCAGCCAGCATACAAGTGAGCACGGGACCTGACATGCATAATATTCACAACTCAGATTAATTTAATTGAAAACCATGTTGATCTCTTTTAAACCGGTGGACCCTTGATGAACTGAAGGCATATAGTAAGCATAACCTGAGGAAAAGACACACCGAGGTTATTTTTCTGTCTCTCTTTTTTACCAATTTTAACCAGTAAATCCAGAATGAATCTGAACGTTATAACTTTGGGTGTTGATAGTTTTCCGGAAATATATTTAAACGATTATATGGGACGGATCTTCACGATGTGCAGCATGACATCATCGCACCCACTGACAGAAGTGTAAACATTAATATCTGTGTAGGAGATCGAAGCGACTTTAAACCCACTTAAGCGGCCGACCCGGGGGGTTTTAAGAGGTTTTATACATCGAGATAATTTCTATAAATTACAGACCAGGCCCCTATTGGAGACCTGCGTTTATTTGTCAAAACGTGTAGCCACACCAGGCTTTTAAACAAGACCTTGACTATTAGGGACCCTGCTTTTATTGGAGGTTTTACGGTATACATTTATTTGTGCTGATCTGAAATTACTTCATGGTGGCGCTTTAATCATTTGTTCCTGGTCCCAATGTCTAATTTTCCACCAAATTTCAGTAAAAATCTGAGATATTCTGCTCATTAACAGAAGAGGAACAGACAACATAACCTCATAACCTTGGCAATCTGTCTTGTTAGTCTGCTGTTGTATCAATAATAATGTGTTTTTTGCCTCATATAATGGGCAGAATGCTGAGATTATTGACTGAAATTCTTCTCTCTTCCCGTCTGCAGGTGGTAGCGGAGGACAGTTACTTAAACGAGGTGCAGAACTCAGGTAAGTGGGAGGCGAAACTCCTGCCTGTACGCTTGGTTATAAATGAAGCTTCACTCCATCCTGCCTCTCCTCCTCCTACACCATCTCTTCCCTTCTGCTCTCTCTGTGTTTTTCCCTCCAGTTTAACCCACATTCTGACTCAGACACCTATGAAACCCTCTCTGTTGACGCCTCGTCTTTATTTTATCCGGCCCTGCTCCAACACTCAGTCTTACCTCTCTTCCCTCCGGCCTTGCACCCCTCTGCATTTCATTTCCCCCTCTTTTCTCCACTTCCCCGGGAGGAGGAGTGGAGGCCATGATGGGGGGTGGGGCGAGGAACTCCTCCTTCTCAGGCTCATTTCCAGTGCTGAAATATCTGTGCTTTTACAATGGAACACACATTGACAGACCAGTGAAAATTACACGCACTTTTACAATCTCATCCATCTGCAAAACCAGCTAGACCATTTGGAAACCACATCAGAGCTCTCTAAATCTGATTAGCACTTGGATAACAAGTTGAATTTTACAACAAGATGCTTGTCTGTTGCAGCGTTTTCCTCCAGCTCTCCTTTGTTGGCCACATTGTATAAAAACCCGGTTAAATTGTACAAAAGTGAAAGGAAATGTTCCCCAATTCCATATTTATTATAATGTGTGTGTTTTGTGCAGAAGATGCTGCACACCCACCCCCCATACAGCAAGCCTCTGAGTGTGAACCGTATCAAATACTCATTGTGGCTGGGAAATGGATTACTGGAGCAGGGAGACTGAGTGTTCCCATGGCGATGGGCAGAGTACTGTTGTCGTGGCAATGAGGAGGGTGTTAGCGGCGAGTGTTGTGTGTGTGTGTGTGTGTGTGTGTCTGAACGCTGCGGGTGTTGAGATGAATAAAAGAACTTGAATGAGACATCCAGGACGAAGGAGGAGGGAGGAAGTGAAATTCAAAAGTGGTGAAAAAAGGGAAATTTGAAGATGAAATGTTCATTTTAAGCTTTCGCTGGTGATGGGAAGAGAAACCTGCCAGAGATACACCATGAAAATATTGCCCACTTCAGTTACGTAATGCTTTTTCACTTTATTAAAATTTAATCAAGCTGGCTATAAAAGTTTTATCACAATTACAGAGCATATACATCTTAAAAAACATATTTTTATTTATTCGTTTAGATAAACATGTGAAACACAAATATAACTGCAGTGACAAGACATGTGCATTTATGATGAAAGCAGAATTGACATAAGAACATATCACTTTTTTAAATGACATGAATATATTTGTAATTATTAGTTAATTGGGATATATATTATCAAACAGGCTGAAAGAAATTAGCTTAAAATGACTTAATGCTGAAGAAACATGAAATAAATGGATGGAAGTGAGTATACCTGGTGAATATAATTTTGGATGATCTATTTTGACAGATTTTCTTCTCGTATTCAAGACACATAGGTTTTTATTCACAGCATTCACGTCATAGTAGGAGAAACACCAGGTGATACTAATAACAGTGACAATGGTTTAGTCCCAGTTAGTCGCGATAGTGAACCAGTATGAACAATATCAGGACCCTGAAACTCAAGCAGCTTAATGGAATTCAGCCATTATTAATTTTATTACGTAGACGTGCTTTTACTGCAGAGACACAGACAGCTGTCTTTTGTGAGCCCGCTCTCAAGCTCCAGACTCAACAGCATGTACGTCATCATCATAACTCATGAATGCAGGGAGCTGTCTGACGAATGGAAGGGCACTTTGTGAGATCACATTACCTGGATGGAAGAAGTGTGAGGCTGATATTTCATTTGTGACAGATCTGGATGTGGAAGTCATGTTGTCCTGTAATAGGGCAACAACAGAGCTGGTTAAAGGACAACTGGTTGATTAATCGATAGCTATAAAATTATTCAGGAACTACTTTGATGTTTTAATGCTTTTCTTTGATTTCCATGATGCACTTAATATGCTCTCAGCTCTGGGATTTTTATATTTTATAGACAAAACGATTATTATTCGATGCAGCCCCACATGTTTTTTATTTTTATACTTCAAAGGAAAATCTCTTTGCAATGGGGAATTACACTGATAACGCCATTTTAACCTTGCACGCTTAGCAGTGTGGGTTATTCCCTTGAGCAAAGTCACAGAAAGTCTGCGTGAAGGGTTGAAAAAGTCATACAGAGAAGTCCTCTAACGCAACTGTCTTGTGGAACATCATTGCCAAAACAACACCTAATTGCAGAATGTGTTTGTATGTGCTGGGTTCACCTTTACACAGGTGTGTGGACTTAGACTACTTACTCATTAGTGAAGAGTGCAGATGCATGTTGGTGTATTTTGATAATGTATAAGCTGAGTTAATATAAGACCTTTGGTGCTCTGGAAATTGACACTGTCTAAAATATAAATAATTAATCAAACAAATAAAATCTTTGCCTTATAAAAAAAGTGTTGATCACTTGCATAGTAATCAACCCACAAAGGCTCTGAAGCCTCTGTTCACTCTGTACGACTTGCAGGAACAATTATCATCGGCTCCAAGTTTGAACCATATTCATTATCACAAGGATTAAAGTACGGGTACAGTTCTTCAGCAAACAGACACTCTGTGAATGAGTAAATAAGTGTTGCCGTCTGTACGTCACAGAAAGAGATTTGCCCTCCGTCATAATCCACAAACACGCCGACCCTCTCCACCTTACCCAAGTGTACTGGCACGTTTGGTGAACAGAAGGTCTCAAACTTATCAACTAGGAACCAGATGGCCCAGAGTCCACTGTGAGGGCTCCGTGAAAGCGCCCCTATCCTCTGGACCGACGCAGCGGCCACACCCAGACACCATTCTGACTTTTTACCCACGAACACCTCGAAGTAAAACTTATGTGACGAGAAGCCCCTCTGCCCCAGAACCGCAAGATGTTCCATAAACATGTTCGGGTTGAAGTTCTGGTTCCCCCACAAACCAGAACCCATGCTGTACCTCACCTGTTTCCGATCAGTGGATATAATGAGCAGAGGGTGAGCTGTGTCAGGATCAAGCAGAACGTCCTCTTCGTATTGCTGCATGTATCTCAGCGCCGCATTGTCTGACACGTCTGTGCCGTTAGAGAATTGTTGGATTTCTGTGTTCATTTTATTTAGCAGAATTCGCAGCTGAGACACCGATTTGCTTAAAGATCTCCGTATGTGATGAACCTCCACGTGTCTGGTAAAACTGAATGTGGACAGGTCCATTGTGTGCGGTAGGAGGGATTGTTCTGGGAAGTTCTTGAGAAAAGAAAGCTGGTCTTTAGTCTGTTTTAACTCCTTCAGCTTCATTGTTGTCCTCTGCAGCTCAGTGATCTCTCGTTCCATACTGCCAATAAACCCACCTGCTTGTTCTTCTGCAGTTTTTTGCTTCTCCTCCATCACCTTTACGAGCTCCCTCTGGCTTCTCTGAATCTCAGAGACCAGCGCCGTCAAGTCCTGCTCGCTGTTTGCCATCACATCTATGGTGTCCGTCTTGCTTTGTTTTACTGACTCCTTCATGGCTCGGACTTTCTGCAGCCTTTCCTGGATCATCTGCTGCACTTTGGCCTCCGTGTCCCCCAGCAGAACCTTCATCTCTGCGTACGCCCGCTGCATATGAACCACGTCATGGTTCGCGTGGCGCAAGCTGGCGCAGACCTCACACAGCAGAACTTTGTCGCTTCTACAGTAGAATATCAGGAGTCTCATATGTTCCTTGCAGGTCTTCTCCTCCAGGCTCGTCAAGGGTTCAACCAGCGTGTGTCTCTTCAGTCCGGCAGCCCTGTGATGAGGCTCTAGATGAACGTTGCAGTAAGAAGTGAGACATTCCAGACAGGTTTTGACAGCCTCTTCCTGGGTGTCAGTACAAATATCACACAGCACTGCACCGCCACAGCCAGCCTGCTGTTGGTCTGGGCTCCAGATGTGAGCCTCTGTCACTTGAAGTGACATGAACTGCGATGCGAGCTCTGAAATGAAAGTGTTGACCTTGAGATCTGGTCTCCTTTCAAAAGCTGCCTTACAGACGGGACACTGGCAGACCAGTGCGTTGGTCCAGTAGGTCGTGATACAGGACATGCAGAAGTTGTGTCCACATGGAGTGGAAACTGGCCGATTGAACACATCCAGGCAGATGGGACAAAGAAACTGCTCCTCCGATAAGAGACTGCTGCTGGAGGCCATTTCTGTAAAACAGTTAAATTAGTGCAAAATATTAACACATTAACACTTCACAGAGCTGAGATTCAGAGTTCACTCTTGACCACAAGGTCCATTTAGTAGCTGTTGGGAGCTTTTGATCCCCTCACATGATCCAAATCAGCAGAGTTTGCTCAGTTTTCATGGAATTGAACAATTAGTTGATTAATTGTTAATCATTATCAATCAACAGAAAATTAATCTGCAACTATTGAGTATTGAAAATTTAGTAATCGGCTTAAAAAAACACTTTCTCTTTTGTGAATATCTGATAAATTAAATATGTTTGGCTGAATATGAAACAAAAAAACTATTTGAAGATGTCAGCATGGGCTTTGGGAAACTGTTTATCTCTATTTGTTTTATATTTTATGGCCCAAATGACCGTTGCAACCCTTCAACTATTGCATTTCCTTTCTCAAACATTTGCAAAAACTACATCCATGTTACGAGCTTGCATCATGTTCTTTTATGCAATTATGGGCGCATTGCTACTTATTACTAAATTACCTCTAAATCTATGTGTAAGCCCCCAGGATCAGGATGATATTTGGGATAAAAAGAAAGAGCACACAGGGTTAGAAGCTGGACAATGTATTTTTAAGTTCACTTTGTCTTTATAAGTTACTTTATAAGTTCAAAGTCCATTGTTTAACTTGTAAACATCAGTTGGAATAAAATACCCACAATATCAGGCCTGATCTTCACGGAGACAGCGTGAAAGCTCCTCCATAAATGTGCTTGTGGTTTTGTCAGCTGCTGCTTTCAGGGTCAAGAATTCATTGCAGTCAAGGAAAAAAAAAAAAAGCATATCTGAACATTTCCATGAGAATATCAGCTGATGAAGATCATGTGATGTGAAAGCTTATTAAAAAGGACCCTGTGGGTATATTATTTTATACTGAACTACGACAAAGCATTTAGTTTTTAATGGAAAGAAAGCATCAACACAAACAGCAGAAAGTGGGAAGCAACTACACTTTCTGCACACAACATAGATTTAAATTATGTGCTAGAATGAAAGTCTGGATCCTTATTGACAACTTACCTCTGTTGTTAGTCTGTAAAGGATAAAGAATGAGGACAAGAGATCACGGTGGTTTCCCAGGAATGAAATCTACTTTCAGTTTCTTCCTGTGTCATGTTTCTTAAAGGGACAGGCACGCCTTTATGTATGAAGGCTTTTTCAGGCTTGGGTCCTGGAGAGGGTTGCTTTTGGGTCCAGTGTCTGAGTGTGTTCTGTATTATTTATTGTTTGAGGATAGATTTCTGCTTCAGTTCAGTACATTTTTGCTTGATTGATTTCCTCTTTCACTGCCTCCCTCTTTGGCTCTTCCTCTTATCTCCCTCCAAATTGGACCGGACAGTGAGTCTCTTTCTGTGTGTTTGTGTGTGTGTGTGTGTGTGTGTGTGTGTGTGTGTTCCTGCGTCTGGCTGTAGTGTAGTGTGTGTTTCTGTTCTGTCACTATTGCAGCAAATCTGTGAGTGTGTGTGTGTGTGTTGGTGTGCAAGGTGGGCACAAGTGTTGCACTGCGTAGATAATGTTGCAGGATGGCCAAGCTGTGTGTGTCGAAGAGATAAGACCGTTGGCGGTTACTGAAGCACCTCCGCCATTAATCATAGTTTAGTAGCCACTCGGCCTGCAGAGAAAGAAATCCTTAGCAGGAAAGTACCACAACACCACGACGGAAAATACTCCAGTACAAGTAAAACATTAACATTAACTGCTGTTGTTTTCTCAGGTTTCAGGAGGGATATTTTTAACACTTGTAGATCAGTTGACAAAGAAAAGGAAGGAAACAAGAAAGAATAGAAGAATAATAGAAAATAAAGAAATAATATAAAGAAATAGACGAATCATATTTTTAAAATAATTTATTATTATATTATGATAGAAAAACATAGTTGCCCCCCCCCCCCAAAAAAAACCAAGAATGATGAAGTAACATTTCATAAAAAAAGTTGAGTTTTAATTAATTCACATATTTGGTAAGTAAAATATCTCATTTCACATCTGAAAACGGCAACTCATGGTTTGTCATGTACACTTCCCAAATGTATGTATTTCAAAAGATTCGATGTACATAACAGAAATGTCCTATAAACAAGGATACACAGGTTTCCTGTCAAATCTGTCTCTTTCTATAAGTCAAAACTAAACTAAACATACTAAAACATATTTAAAAGCCACTTAAATGCAGTTAATTTGTACCTCTGGGTGCATTATGTCTGGCAGGGGTTGCATGTAGTATGTCTTAGCTTTCCAGTCTTTACCAATTTCTGCAATTCCAACACTGTTTAGGGACCCCAGTATGCAGAAATAATAAAATACAACATGTAAATACAACAAGAAAGTGGGCATGTCTGCAAAGACAAGGCTCGTGGGTACCCATAGAAACATACTGCCATGACAGTTTTTAACATCCCCAAAATTGAGCCTAGGTCACCAGTATCTTCAGTCTAGCTGAACATCCGTTTTTTATTAGTACAGCTCTGCTCGTTAAGTTCTGCAATATAACTCCTTTTCATTAATGTGTGATGTAAGTTTTTACTAGGCCACAGGATGTAACCTGCTCTATATTTTGTGGCCTAATTTTGCTACACTTTGAAGTCAGCAGTTTCCCCTCTCAGCCTGTCTAAGCTTCACTCACATATTCCTCCTTTCTCAGAGGAGATTACCGGAAGTGTCCGATCACCACCGTGTTAAGTGATGGCAGTTTAAGGTTATGGAAATTTCCCCAATTCAACATGGATCAGTGGGGGTAAATGCATTAGGCGAGATCCTGCTGTGGCTGCATATAAGAATCATCCATGTAAGCTTTTATGTTCAGATAAAATACAGACATGGGGATAATGGGACTAAGAGCAATTCCAGTCGTCTTTCCTCTCACTTCTCCCAAACTTTCCCCTTTTATTCACATTGTCCTCTCTGACCCAAATCCTCCTCCTTTCATCCAAAACATCTTATTCTCCCATTTTCCTCAACATTTACTATGCCCTCCCTTCCCTCCCTCTTTTTGTGCAGTGCCTCTGTCCTGCTCTGAGGGATTCACAGAGTTGGGATACTACAACGGCACCGTGTCTCAGACGGACTCTGGCGCCCCCTGTCTGAAGTGGACCGAGTTTCCAGACTATGTGATGCAGTATCCGGGCCGAGGGCTGGGCGACCACAGCTACTGCAGGAATCCTGACCGAGAGTCCAACCCCTGGTGCTTCTTCAGACAAAACTCTGGAGCCATCGGATGGGCTTACTGCGACTGCCACCAGGGTACGACCACCTGGATGTGACTGATCCAGGACCATTTACATTACACTTTGTTTTTATAGCACTTCTTTAAAACAAAGCTACAAAGTGCTGTATGATTACAGATAAATAACAAAATGAATTATTGAAGCAGTAAAAAACAGAAGAAAATGCAGAAACTAGTTAAAAAAACAAACCAAATAACTTTCTATCATCCATTCATCGGGGAAATTAGCAGTATAACACAGGAAGTAACGTTATTATCAATTCATTTATTTGATTAATCTTTCAGTCCAACAATTAATCTGAGAGTTTGGGAGATGAATAAATGAACAAAAAATACATTTTTAGTTTATTTTGGTCTAGTTTCGTCTAATCTCTCCACTTTTCTTGTGAGATGCTGTATAGTTTCACTCTCTTTAAAACAAAAACAAATGAAACACTATATAGAAAAGGAAACCAGTCAAATATATAAAAGATATGCAAATCAAAATGGAGGGAGTGACGCTGCTTTTTCAAGGACTCACAGGCCAAAACTTTTCAGTTTTCAGGGTGACTTTAAATTGATCTAAAGCCCTATAATATTCAATTTACAATTTATAACAGGGAATGTTTATAATTTATGCTTCACAAATGACGAACACTGGATCAAATTGACCATGAAGACTATGTGTAATGTGAAAGGGGCTATTCATACAGAGTGCTTTAGTGTTTTTTGGATCATTATTTTTGGTTTTCTGGTCCACAAACTCTGATAATCAACCTCGTTTCCAGTAAAATGCCCTAAAAACCGACTCTACTCTACCTGCTGAGGTTGTTACGCTTGTTATGTCCTCATCTTGTCTCGCTGCGGCTTTTCAGGCGCAGCGCGTCTGGTCGGCAGCTCGTCCTCTGGCAGTGGGCGGGTTGAGGTCTACCTGAACGGCCAGTGGGGGGCGGTGTGTGACTCCCACTGGTCAGACAGAGATGCCAGTGTGATCTGCAGGCAGTTGGGCCTCGGGTAAGAGAGAAATCCCAAAACACGAGTTTATTATAAAGTGTTGATGTTTCACAGCTTGTTCTCATTGGGGGATTTATTTCACTTTAACAGCGACATTGGCACGGCCTTGCAGCACTCCCAGTTCGGTTCGGGCTCCGGCCTCTTCCACTACGAGCGCCTGGGTTGCCGTGGCGACGAGAACAGCCTGAGTAGCTGCCGGAGCAGGACGTTCGTCACTGGTGACTGTAGCCATGGAAACGAGGCAGCAGTGGTGTGTACGCCGCCAGAAGGTCAGTGTGACTTCCACAGTGTCAAGGCAACCAGACCTGAATATCCCCCCCCACACACACCTGAGAGACACAGAGAGTTATTTTTATTTTTACTTAACTACCTCCTTAACTACAGTTATGCTCATAATGAAAAATGAAGACAGGTAGACAGGAGGGATGCTGTCTGACCTTATATTTCTACATCCTCTCTCAGGCAGTGGCCCTCCGCTGCGATTAGTCGGAGGCGAGGAGGACTTTGAAGGTCGTGTGGAGGTGTTTCACGCGGGAAGGTGGGGCTCCGTCTGTGACGACCAGTGGGACGACAGAGATGCTGAGGTTGTGTGCAGACAACTGGGATTCGGGTACGTACATCAGGGGACTTTCACACCTTCGTACCAAGTTAACATGTGTGGTACCAAACCTATCCTACCCTAGTAGCCTTTAACTACACATTAAATCACACTTGTGGAGGGTACTCGACATTCAGGGACCAGGGTGGCATCGTTCTGTGTTTTTCCTATTGTTATTAAATCCCATTAAAGACCAAAGCCAACCATCTGCTTTCTACCTCTTCTATAGCCCATTGGTTCTTGCTGGAGACACAAATACATGGCTTAATTTTTTAAAAAAATTTCAGAAATTTCCTTACACAGCTGGACACTGTAGTTTTTAGCAAATGTCCCTCAAACAGGAGTGAACAGTGCATTTGTTTGGGGACTATTTTCAGACATGGATTAATACACATTTGGTGCTTTAGTGAGTATTTAGGGCAGTAGGACAGTAACGACAGTGCCCAGGTTCATTGTGATGAGGAAACGTGTCCCCTAGTGCAACAGTGTGGCTTATTTATGTGTTTTTAATAGTTAACAACTGAGCTCTAATGGCACAGAGGAATAGACCACACAGATAATACTTAGTTTAGTTTTGTGGGATTTGTTGGCGATGACAAAGGGCAGAACATCACCAGCCTTATCTTTCAGTGAGGGGGCATAGATATATGTGTAAAACTATGTCACCATGGATACAGATAGATGCCTTGCTCGCTCAGTTGGTGTATTATATTATATAATAAATTAAAATGAGCATGTTGTGCAGATGGTTGCTAACTGACGCCTGCATTTACTTTAAGAAAATATGATTTTTTATTAAAGTTTTATAACTGGCTCAAAAAACAAAGAAAACTGGGGGAGGGAAAGTCCTTTGTTTAGGTAATGTTTAAATCTGTGCAAGCGTTCCCTCCTTGTATCGTTTGCAAAGGAGGAGTAACATCCCTGACAGCTTTGAGTGTCAAATAGATGCAGTCGTAGCCGCGAAGAGAAAGAAGCTCCTTCCATGTTCAACACGAGGTTGCATTTCATCTCCTCAAACACTGTGGGACAGCTCACCATCTGTGTTTGTGCCTCTAAATAATGGATGACACCGATGCACAGGTTCTCTCACAGCTGCACAGAGGCGCTGATGTGTTTTGACACTTAAAGACAAAATGATATGAAAATGATTTGTTTCCATCTGGATAGTTTATTTTTGGTATTTGTGTACGATTTTGCTGACTAACATTCAAACCTAGCCCTACTACGATGTTGTTCTAGTAGTTACTATGAGAGTTAACAGTTAAATGTGGTTTTACATGTTGGGCGAGGGTTAGACAGTCACCCCAAATTGCCCAAATACCAAAAGAAAAACTTAAAAATTAACACAAAATAAGAACTATTTTTTCTTTTACACAACATTTTAAAATTTTTTAATACTTTGAATTACAAATTCTGCAACTTCTCAACTTTCTATGTTGATTCTACTTCCATACTATAATAATTTAGCTTATTATTCCATTTAAAAAGCTCCATATTTATAATAATAATAATAATAATATGGGAGTGTTGGCAGAAGCTTGTGGTCACTACCGTTCTCCTGAGTCATTCTATATTCTCTGAGCTTCACTATGCTTTTATTTTTAGCTTAAATATGTCGTCCAGCTGTACACAGGAGCAGAAATGCACGGACCCACAAAAACACATAAAAGTGCTTTTTGTAGCATCAATAAATAATCACTGCATGAATGCAACAACATCCTTGTAGAAGCTATACATTATTCATTTGGATGATTTGATTTATTTTGAATATTTGCCTTATTTCTTTTGCCATTTCTTCGTTTTGTTTAGTAAGAATTGGGCAGCACTAACGTAGGTACTCCAGGTTTATACCCTGCAGATATGCTAACAGCCTGGCTCCGTGGATGGTAATGTGGGTCTATCCAACACTTCGGTCCAGACTGAAATATCTCAACATCTGTTCAATCTATTGCTATGAAATTTTCTATGAACAATCATGATTCCTAGATGATGAGTCCTGAAGACTTTGGTGGTCCTCTGACTTTTTGTCTAGCACCACCATGTGGTTTTTAGTGAAATATCTTGACAACTGTTAGATGGATTGCCATGAAATTTCATGCAGTTTTTCATGTCCCCCTCAAGTTTCTATCTAACACCATCATGAAGCTTGGGTTGTGCTTGTCCAGCACTTCAGTTTGTGACCAAATACTTGAAAACTAATACATCAACCATCAACCTCAGCTGTACTGCATGCTAACACATTAAACTGATGGTAAACAAACAAAGAAACACTCTCTATCTTTGGCAAAGGTCTTAAACAACAGGTAAGGTGGAAAGGTAAAAAAATATATTTTTTTGGGTGGAAAGGTAAAAAAACATAATTATGTTGTCTTGTGGTGACAAATTGTGTCTGTGTTTAGGGGTGTGGCGAAGGCCTGGTCGTGGGCTCACTTCGGTCAGGGTTCAGGCCCGATCATGCTGGATGCTGTGAAATGCACAGGAAATGAGCTCTTCCTGGATCAGTGTCCCCATGGCGACTGGGAGCAGCATAACTGTGACCACATGGAGGATGCTGGGGTCTCCTGCAGCCCTTATACAGGTACATGTACAGCACACACACACACACACACACACACACTACTGTACACACTGATAGGCTTCAAGCTGCTATTTATAGCCACTGAGCATCAATAAATCATTACTGCATGAAGCTGCAACATCCTCTTTGTGACAAGGAGAAATAAGTAACATATCAATTGGCACGAAATAGCAGCTGCTGTTCATCAAACTAATCTGAGATGAATAATTAATTTCACAATTATACATAAATATTAATGTTAATGGCTAAATGTAGCATCTATAAAATGTAATCGTGCCCTATAGTCTAATAAAGGAGTTTGCGTGTCTGCTTTTAATTACATTAACGCTCCCAAAGGACTTTTTAACGACCACAATATGAAACTGTTTCAGATGGTGTGGTGCGTCTGGTTGGAGGAGACAGTCCCTGGGAGGGTCGGGTCGAGGTTTTCCACAACGGTGACTGGGGGACGGTGTGTGACGACCACTGGTCCCAGCAGCATGCAGAGGTGGTCTGCAGACAGCTGGGCTACAGGTACGGAAAAAGCTTGGAGGAATGCACCCAATGAGACGTACACTGACTGAACTCAAAGGAATCCTTTTCCATATGTTGAAAAACTATCTGAAGAGGCCATCAGATGTTTTGTAAAGATTTTATTGTCAGTTAAGACTTGGAATTTGTTTTTCATCCTTGTTTTGTTTTTGAGGCTAAATGTATTAGTTGTTTGTTTGCTTTACTGAATTTTTGAGGAAAAAAACAGTAATAAAATAATAATAAATAGATATTTTTAATATTACTAGTCACTTGCAAAAGCATATAATTAGTAAGGTTCTGTTACTCCAACTTAATGACCTTATTATTATCATTTATTATTTTACATATGTCGATAACAAAAGAAAATCTTGCAGATGTATGAACGTGTCTTTAGACTTTAACCTCTTCTCCACCTTCAGAGGTCACGCTGAGATCGTCTCAGATGGGACGTTTGGCGAAGGCGTCGGTCTGATCCTCCTGGATGACGTCCACTGTGAGGGATCTGAGACCTCCCTGCTGGACTGTCGGCACGGGATCTGGGGGCGGACTGACTGCTCCCACAGTGAGGATGTTGGCGTTCGCTGCAGGGGCCGATCTAGCCAAGAGACCAATGAAGTGCCGGTTATCGCACCTTCCACAGGTAAGAGATAAGGATGCATGTTGTTTTGAAATGGGGTACTAACAAGGCTAATTTATTGTAATTTCCTGAAACCCCTTGAATTATTTATTTTATCGTTATTCAGGATAACTGCACATCAAGCCTGGAAGCTGCAGAGTGAACCACAGTCTGATCTCTTGGCAATTGGGAGCTTACGGGCATCTCAGCAGTAGTAATGAGGCTCCTTCACTTTCCCCACCCAGCTTGATTCTGCTTGTTGGGGATCAAACAACAACCTTTAGGCACTAGTATATATAGACATAAACATGAAATCTAGATGAAAACAATATGAATTAAAACTACAAGGAGCAACAAGGCAAACAAGTTTTTGTCTCACAGTGAAGTTTTCAAAGGAAAACGATTTATTAGCATTTTTTCAGAATCCAGATTGTAGAAGAGTTGAGAGTTTGATTAATTTGCAGTTTTTAGAGATATTGTCATTTACATCAAGAGTGAGAACAACTGGTGAAGCGTCATTCACTTGCTGTACACCACACATGAAAACAAATTACCAGAGGTTGTTCCCCTGCTCTGACTGTCCTTTAAAAGCTGCCAGCTTTGATTATATGTCGTTACGCACCAAACTGAACCGGAAAGCAACTGCAGTCGGAACAAAGGAAGGAAGAAAGAAAAGCAAAAACAAACCCAACAGATCTGCACTGCGGAAGTTTGGTCACTGTGCCATCTGCAATTAATTTAGTACGGAAAGGGCAAGCTGTCGCTGCAGAGGTCTGGTCTAACACCAGCCTGTGAGCTGTTGACTTTAGTAAACTTTTGCAGAAATCTATGTATGTATGTATGTATGTATTGTTATGTATTGCTTATCTATCTATCTATCTATTCTTATCTATCTATCTATCTATCTATCTATCTACTATTATCTACTATCTAGTACGACTTCTGTTCTTCCTTTTGGTGGGCTCTGGCTATCCGTTACCTCAGGTGGTGAAAAAAACGTATGTCTGTCTAAAGCCTGTTTAAATGGCCACATGTTGACACAGAGAGGAATAAAGCGGTGTTTACTGTCTGGGCACTCTAGAGGTCCGTGTCTTCCTGTAGACAACACGCTCCAATTAGGAATGGACACATGGAGGCCTGAATAAAGAGGCACCGCGCTGCCAGGTGACATTTTAACGCCGTTCAGTGGACATATAACGTTCGCCTCTCAGTGGCTGTAGCACGCACAGACATGAATATTCAAATGAGGTGGTTGAGTGTTTCTTTTTTGTTTTTTTTGTCAGGTCCCCTGGTGCGTCTTGTGGGTGGCAGCAGCAGAAAGGAGGGTCGAGTTGAGGTGTATCTCCATGGCGACTGGGGAAGTATTTGTGACTCAGGCTGGAACGACCTAAATGCAGTCGTGGTGTGCAGACAGCTTGGACACAGGTTTGTAGTTATATGTGCGCATGAAAGAGACAGAGAGATAAACATTTATTTCTTTTAATTACACAACAAAATCGCATTTATCTCTCTCTGCAGTGGTGGAGCCGTAGCAGCTGGGGGGTTCGGTCAGGGGAAAGGGCCCATCCATCTGGACCAGGTGAGGTGCACGGGGAAGGAGGAGTTCCTGGGAGAGTGTCCCTCTCTGGGCCAGAGCATCCAGGGCTGCAGGCGCAGGGAGGATGCAGGGGTGAGGTGTGACGTCATGCCGCAGGAGTCAGTGGCACAGGTCAAACCTCAAGAGCTGAGCTGTGGGTTGAGGAAGCTGGTGGAGGAAGAGAGCAACAGGAGGAACCAAGGGGAGGACAACATGCTCAGGTAACATTTAGGACCTAATTTGATAGCACAATATGTCCAAATTGGTGAAGTGACAATGAGCCATGAATTTGGTCCAGTGTGTGACATTTAGGAGGATCTATTGGTTGAAATGGAATATAATATTCATAGGTATGTTTTCATTAGTGTATATTTAATATATTTGTTTATGTTCCCTTAGCAGTGTTACTTAGTTGCAATCTCCAATTTCACCTCTAGATGCTACTCAATCCTAAGCAACTGACCCCCTTCTCCTGTCAGTATTTATGTACCTTGTTGCTCCCTATTGAAATAATTTCTACCTGACCAAAGGTTAGTTTTGTGCTAATTTCATTAAACACAACATTATTTGGAAATACCACAGGAGCCCAATTTAAACAAAAACAGAAGTCTTAAAACTAGATTTTGAGACTATAAAACTGGTAATAATACAAAACTCCCCTTAGTTGTTATTGTACTTTAGTGTTACTCATCAAAATGCATTGTGTGTACTCTCAGGTCCATGATGGCAACCAGAAAAATGTATATACATAATATTTTGAAACCTGCATTATTGTTGAATTACTATGTTTCTTGGTGCGTTACCGCCACTGACTGTCTTCAGTGGAATAATGTGAGAAAGTCTGCAGGAGTATGTATCTCTTTGCCCGTGTCCTCGTTCTCTTGTGCACAGATCTGAAAGCATGTCCTGCTGCAGCTTCTTTCAAAATCAGCAAAATAAGAAATGATTAGCCAGCACAATCAGGGACAGTCGTAGTAGTTAATGTGGCTTAGGGGACACTCGTAAAGAGGAGAAAGAAGGAGTTTTGATTGAGATCTTTTCCCGTTCTCTCTCAGGACCACGTGGCCATGGCAGGTGTCAGTGTGGCTTCAGTCTCAAGAGGAAGATGACAGTCCTCTCTGCAGCGGCACTCTGATCAGCCCCTGCTGGGCCCTGACGTCTGCATACTGTGTCAGCAGGTAAATCCGACGCCGGAGGAATCGTCAGTGGTAACCGCCGAACACCACCAAGTATAAACCCACCTTCTCCTCTCCTCCCTCCTCCAGGTTTGGCGGCGACCCATCCAGGTACGTGGTGCGTATCGGGGCCTCAGAGCAGACTCTCACCCCGGAGGAGGTGGTGGTTCACAGGAAGTTCAAGGGTCAGAGTGGAGGTCACGATCTGGCTTTGTTGAAGCTACCCAGCACCAAGGGTCACTGTCTGACCTTTGACCCTAACACCAACGCAGCGTGCCTTCCTACAGGAGACACGGCACCAGGGGGAAATACTCCATCTTCTTGTGTAGTAATGGTTACCACTGGCTGGACAGGACCAGGTACGTGTTTTTCTCGCCAGCGTGTCGTTTTAAAACCTCAAACAATATTCAGAATGTATCTAAAAATATGTTTTATATACAACACACACATCCAGCGACCTTGTTTCCACCACTTGGCCTGTCAGGATTTTTAACATATTTATTAAGTCACACAAACCAGTGTGCGAACAACCTGTTTTCATCAGGTTTACTAATAAATATTTAGACTTAAATATTTAATCAGAAGGTTAGAATTTGACTTATTTGTAATCTGTGACTGCAGAGGTTAACTTTGGTGCATGTAGGGCTACAACTAACTAATCTGTGTCAATGTCAATACTGTCAGTAGTAAAAAAAAAAGTTCCCAGAGCCCAAGGTGACGTCTTCAGATGTCTTGTTTTGTTTGACCAACAGTCCAAATCCCAAAGATATTCAATTAACAAACCTGTACAACAGTGAAAAGCAGCAAATCTTCACATTGAGAACTAATGAATATTTAGCATTTTAACCACGGTAGCGCCACCAGTATTTGGTTTTATAACATTTTTAAAAGGATCACCATGAGTCTTGTTACACACATTCATGTTCCCCTTTAATTTAAAGAACTTTGGTGGTCTCTTGTCATGTAGCGCCATCACCAGGTCAAAATTTAAATAAAATTTCTAATCACTCTAATCAGCAACAGCTGTACTTTGTCTTAGTGCTAATTAGCAAAATTAGCTGCTCCTTTAACCATCTCATCCATCCTCTCTCCTAGACTCAGTCCTCGCATCCTGGGTCCCTCTGATGTCCTCGTGGCAATGCAAGAAGCGCTATGGCGACAGCTTCTCCAGCCACGGCACCCTGTGTGCCGGCAGTCCTCCAGACACCAGCCTCCTCCATGGCGACAGTTGTCAGGGCAACTCTGGAGGCGGGCTGGTGTGTCAGGGGGATATGGGTCGATGGGTCCTCACCGGGGTCGTCGCTGGAGGTTACGGCTGCAGCGACCCCTCCTCGCCCTCACTCTACACTCGAGTGAGCCGCTTCAGGAGCTGGATCGAAGAGGTCACCAACACACGAGTGGAGGAACCGCACACACAGACACAAGAAGATCTGACACACGTTGACAATGACCTAACACACACACACGAGGAACACGCACACACCGAGGGCAAAGATAAATACCTCCACGTGCACGACAAGCTCAAACACACACACGACCAACAACAAACGAATGAAATCGGCGATATCAAACAAACACACACTCATCACTCACACACCAATCAGCACGCTGGCACACACGCTAAAAGCACACACCACGTAGGGGATGCAAACACACAAATTCTGGTCTGATTGAGGCCGTGCCATTGGCTTACCATCTGTGCCATGTGAGTGCCTGAGGAAGGAGAGTTAAAGGAAGACGAAAGTAAACTTTAACAGTAAAAAGAAACGTGAGATGCTCCTAACTTAAGTCAGTACAAACGGTCGTCTCTGTGCTCATTTCAAATCTGAACTCAGTGTTGTGAATCCCCAAGTGTTTGCAGGTTGTAATGGTCGGATGAGTACGGCAGTGTGGGCAGGCCTTCCTGAGCTGCCAGGATGACATGAGTGTGTGGGTGATTTGTGGTGCTTTACATGTGAGCTGCAGCCCTGTTGAGAGGCAGAATGATGACCGATGGTGGGTCGGCAACATTTAGGTTGAGCCTGGCATGCTGATCGGGGCCTTTCACCGATACTGAGAATCAAAAAATCAGCATGGCATGTATTTTAAGGACAATAGCGTTAGCATTAAAACAATCGGGGGATAATTGCTGAGATGGTCACACAAGAATCTATGCTAAAATTCACCTGTTAATGTGTGTCTTCTGTGTGAGCTGTTTAATAACAAAAATCAACAAACTAACCACCAGAACATCTAGATCTAGATATCATCATCGTCCCTCTAACGGCTCTACAATTATTATAGATTAACAAACTCTTGCATCAGGCGACGCTCATCCCAAGTTAAGTTTTGATAAAAAATTGTGGGTGATGTGGCTTTTTCAAACAGGGCTTCAGGCTGTTGTCTCATACCTTTACTGGTGAAAGTGCTGTTTAGACCCGAGACTAAGCTATTTAACTTACGGACCATACCTGTGTTTTTTGTCCACTGCTGACTGTTTCAAAGTTCCTCCTCTGCTTTTTCCTGCAAGTACACACAGGGAATGCAGTCCACAAGGGCAAACAAAAACATATCACAAAATATAGAAATCTAAATAATGGACCCTTTAAAATATTATTTGCATTTATATAGTGTTTAATAAGAACAACTTCTGGGCTTTTCATTTGGTTTATTACAAACAGAACTCATGACCCTTATTATTAATTATTAACATTCAGAACGGCAGGCTTGATATGAGACAACCTTTATTAATGACCTGACTATTAATGACTCCCCAATCAGAGAGGCTTTTTTCACAACCTGGCAACCTTAAAGTTGTTATTGGCTCATAACCGAGCTATAAAATCCACAATGAAACCCACAGGATGTAGAGAGCCCAACAAAAAGCACTTACTGCATCGTGTCATGAGTGCACCGATCTTCTCAAAAGCTTTTCAGGAAGCTGTTGCTTTCCATTGATTTTCCAGTCCATCACAATTAATGTTAAATCTGCATTTATTTTTTTGTCAAAGTCACTTATATTGTTGAGAGGTACCACAGTGCATTATTCCCAGATCAATTAAAGTGCATTACCTCGCAACAATAATGGAGAAAAACGAATCTTGATGTTCACCGTGATGGATTCAACAACTCTTAAAGCCGGTTTTACGAGTCTACTAATTGATTTCTATTCCAAAGGGGGGAAACTGTGGAAACTGCCTGGAAAAATATACACAAAAACACTGAAACTCCGGTTGGTTTCATCAGCAGCTATATCACGTGTACAAAATGTGTCGTATTCGTAGTTAATAAGCTTAAACATGCAAAAACACAGGTATGGTCCTTTAAACTGTACAGGACAATTATATCCTTTCAAAGCCATTTGACTTGTCGGGTCGTAAAATATCTTTTTGTACTGATTCCAGCAGATGGCTCTAGATAGATAAATAGATGGATAGATAGCTACTACTCCTGAGTTTAGATAGTTCGTGTACTGCATTCATTCTTGACTGGATTAGGTAGCCGAAACTCTTTGAAGTTAAATGTTGTCTGTTCTGTTGTACTCTGAGCAGATGTGTGCTCCGACCAGAAGGTGGCGACGTTGCTCTATTTTCACAGGGCCGGCTCTCATTGGAAAAACATGGCCCTGATGGTTCTTTTTATACTGTTGCTATAAGTGTACGGACTTGACTTTGTGCTTTGATGTACTGTGAACCATTGTGTCGTGAAGCATCTTGTAACCTGCAACTGCTGTTTTCTCCAACATGGACCGGTCTGATGCTTGTTGTTCTAACCCTGTACATAAACTCAAGCCTATCACTACTCCTCCCTTCCCCTGACAATTGATGTTTTATCATGCAGATCCCGTAGGTTAATGTAAAAGTGTATGTCCATGGCAGGAGGGCGAGGGGAGCGGCGTAAAGTGTTTACTTTACCTGTGTTAAACCCATCCGCTGTTCCTCGGTGTAATGTGCTGAATCACTGTTGAGTATTAAAACATATACCTGGTGAAAACAAGTGGCCTCTCTTCTCTGTCTTATTCCATAATACGCTTTAATTAACTCTGTTTCCCTCCAAGGTTTGGTTTGTTATTGTTAATGCTACCAAATAAGGGCGATTATGCAATATGCAAAGGGGTATGCTGCACTTCTCTGCGGTTTGTATACACATTTGAATTCAGCATGAGGACAGTGTTGATGTCTGGAGGAGCCATTCAGAGAGATTAGTTGAACACTTGATACACAAGAATCCTTCCTGTTGTTTCTCATGCTATAGGTGAGGAATGTATTTGATCAATTAAACACATTCTTAAAGCCCTGTAGAAATCATTTGCTATCTTCCAGACTCAAAACACATACATGGGTTTTATATGGTTAGAAAATAAATAGTAAAAAGATTGCTTACAAAAGATTTATTGTAAATGAAAAGTAAATCTGCTTAGCTGCTGCTCTCAGTCACCCATGAGCCATGTTAATCTTTTCTTTTGTTTGGATGGGTTCCCCTCTGAAAGAAAGGGGATCAGAGGAAATCCTTGCTGCAATGAATTGGCTAGTTTTTATTGAAAACTGTTGCAAAAGTGATTTATAATTAGCATAAATGAGTCAGCTTTTGGGACATAGCTGAATAATAGGACCAATTCTTCTTCAAAAGGCTCCTTTTTTAGTCTTTTTTTCCACACTTCAGTTTTTTTTTATTAAATGATGAAACTGCACACAGCTCGTCCATTTTATTTCATGGCTCTGTATTTCACTCACGCTCAAACTCTTCAATTCCCTTTCATTTCTGGAAGACGTACTAAAAAGATGTACTAAAAGTATTCATCATGCAGTATTATTATCTATACACTATTACTATTATTGCACTAACATGTAAGCAGCACTTTAATGTTATGTCTGGTCAAGGTGGGTTAGGGTACGTTTATCTACTTACTATACCGTATATATTCATATTTTATTTGTAAATATTTATTTTATCTAAAATCTGACTTAGTAATAGAGCTGTCATATAAATGTAGTGGAGTAAAAAGTATATTTTTTCTCGAATGTAGTGGAGTAAAAGTATTTTTAATTGCACTCGAGTAAAAATAGTTACACTACACCTCAGCCCAATTTTATACACATTTATTGTTGTATCAATGAAATTCTGCATATACTCTGGTGTGGACAAAAATCCAAAATATAAATGGCATAAAAGAATGAGAGAAAGCAGTTTTTAGACGAGTACTGGTCATTTAAAGGGTTAAGTCACATCTGTGTAAAAACGGGATATACAGCATAGCAGCATAAGGGTTGGCAGGAGTGTGAAAGGGAAAGAAAGACATTCAGAGTTAAGATGGTGAACTAAACGGTTAATTGCTGCGTCATTTTGTAATTTAGGTTTGCAGAGCATGTGCTAGGGCTGTTTTCACACCCTCAGGTGAGTAGATAAAATACATCTGTGTGAACTGGTGAATATGTATGTGGTCCTTCAGCATGATGTTAGATAATATGTTTGTCTGCACTCATAACTCAGAGTCTGGAGTCCGGTGACAAAGTAGATTTATCTAAAATAATCTGGCTTATTCGATGTGTTAAGAGTATTAAAAAAACACAAGCTCACATATCATTTTGAGAGATGAAAAACAAAAGCCGATATATTTTCCAGGAAGTAACGTTGTGGTTTTACGTAATGTTGCAGGCATGGCTTCCTGCAGCAGTCTGTTGTGTGAAGAACAGTTTCAGTGCTCAATCTGCCTGGAGGTCTTCACTAAGCCCGTCTCCATCGCCTGTGGCCACAACTTCTGCAAGGCCTGTATCGCGGGATACTGGGACAACAGCAACCACTGCCAGTGTCCACTCTGCATGGAGACATTCGCGAGGAAACCAGAGTTAAAAACGAACACGACGATCCGAGAAGTCTCGGATCATTTAAAAGGGATGCGAGAAAGAAGTAGTGATGAATCTAATTATGTAGACAAAGCCTGCGACATCTGCACTTTGGGGAAACTGAAGGCAACAAAGTTTTGCCTCGAGTGTCTGACATCTTTTTGTGAAGTTCATCTAGAGCCTCACCACAGGGTTGCAGGACTGAGGAGACACACTCTGCTCGATCCCGAGGTCAAACTGGACAACAGGATGTGCAAGAAGCACAATGTTCTTCTGGACGTGTTCTGCCGGACGGATAAAGAGTGCGTTTGTCAGCTGTGCATCAGTGAGGACCACGACACTCACAACACCGTACCACTGGAGATAGAGTGTGACAAGGTAAAGAGACGGATTGGAGAGACGGAGCTCAGAGTGCGACAGATGATGCAGGAGAAGCTGCAGAAGATCCAGGAGGTCAAGTATCTGGTGGACCTCAGGAGGAGGGACGCCCAGAAGGACATATCGGACAGTGTGCAGGTGTTCACCGCTCTCATCGCCTCCATTAAAAGGAGCCAATCAGAGCTCATTTGGGTGATTAAGAAGAAGCAAAAGGCAATGGAGAGAGAAGCCGAGGGCTTCGTTAAAGCTCTTGAGCAACAAATTAGTGCACTGCAGAGAAGATGCACAGAGCTGGAGCAGCTCTCGCACACCAACGACCATCTCCACGTCCTCCTGAGATCGCCATCTCTCTGCAGCCTTCCACACTTGAACGATCAGCAAGAGTTCAGCATCCAGAGCGGCGAGTATGAGCAGAACGTCAGGAAATCTTTGCGGAGCACCATCTCCGAACTAGAGGAGACTGCGAGACGAGAACTTTTCAACTTTGAAGACAAGTTTAACAAGGAAATGGAGAAGTTCCCCGATCAGAAGCTGCAGTGGGTTCGGCACTATGCTGTGGATGTAACTCTGGACCCGGACACTGCACATCGCTCCCTCACTCTCTCCGACGATGGGAAGGAGGTGAGGGAAGGCAAGTTGCAAAAGAGACCTTTCAACCCCAAAAGATTTACAGGGTTATTGGGTTCATCAGTTGTAGCAAAGGAGGGATACTCCTCAGGAAGGTTTTACTTTGAGGTGCAAGTGGAGGAGAAGAACAAATGGGCCATCGGAGTCGCTAGAGAGTCCGTCGACAGGAAGAAGTGGTTCTCAATATCAACTCAACACGGATACTGGACGATAGGGCTGGGAGATGGCTATAAAGCCAACACTGCTCCTTCGGTCTCCCTCTACCCACGGAAGCTGAAGAAGGTCGGGGTGTTCGTGGATTACGACGAAGGGGAGGTCTCCTTTTATGATACAGAGGGCAAGTCTCATATCTACTCATTCAGCGGCTACACTTTTACCGAAAAACTCTTCCCTTACTTTTACTGCGGCATCGATGATAGTGCACCGTTGGTTGTAACTGCTGTGAATCCGGAGGACTACAACCAAAACTAAAACTTTCTTAACCTGTTTGTGGTACTAAGGCTACATTCCGACTGCAGGCACAAGTAACATCACAAATCACACTGAATCTGATCTTTTCATTTTTTTTCAATGCAACCTGAGCCACATTTAACGAAACAAAAGCCCAACAAAAATAAATCAGAATTGACTGCAAATGCTTGCAGTCTGAATATAGACTAGAAAAACAAATAAAGAGTTTTGTGTTTAAAAAATATTAACTACTATTGGGCAGTGTAGTTTTCAATAAATGCTACTCAAACAGGAGTAAATAGTAGATTTGTTGGGGACCATTTACAGCCACAGACTAATACATTCTACTAAGCATCTAAATCAGCAGCAGTGAGATTGACTTACTACTATTGCCTTAGTAAATGTTCACCAAGTGCAATAGAGATGGTAATTTGTTTAGCAGCTAATCTATGACACAGAGGAATAATGTACATCAGGCAACGCTACACAGACAATACTTGTTAGTAGGATCAATTAAATGTTGGTTTTGGTCATTTTGAGGGATTTGTTGACAAAAATAAGAAAAAACATGAATATCTTTATTACCCAGTGTTTAATGAAACCTGAAGAAGTATCATGATATATATTAACATCTTGTAATAAAACTCATGAATGTTGCTTTACTGTGATGTTGCCTGATAACCTTGTTTTAATTTCTGACCTAAACCACTACACCGTCTGTCTTTCACTTGGTAAAACAAAAGCATATCACAGTATGTCAGCGAGCATTGTCTTGTGATGAACATGTTTCCATCAGTTGTCGCTGGAAACAGAGACACTGAGGATAGAGATGAGTACCTGCACTGCTTACTTGATGCAGTCATGATGACTGTGTATATAAATCAGACATTTATGGAATAAAAGTAATACTCTACAAAAAGGTTTGTGTTTCACTACCTCTCTGTGACTCTTTCACACACCATTGCACAGAGATCTCAGGGATCTTTTACAGAGGTTGAGATCCAGCACCCAGTTTTGGAGTTTATTTATGAAACTAAAGACATCAATGATCTACTAAGTGGTCTAGATGCTGTATATCAATAACTGTTTCCATTCTTTCATTTCTCTCATTGTGATACAGAGCAACAGTGAGCTACACATTATGATTTATAGAACTGGAGTTACATTCAGGTAATAACGTAACATCACTGTGTCTCATTACTGAATATAAAACTACCTATCATTCTTAAGTAAGCTTAGCATAAAGACTGGATACAAGAGGAAACCACTTAGCTGGGTCCAAATGTAAAAGGAAACTGCCTATCAGCACCTCCATAGTTCAATTATAAACATGTTACCCTGCTCCCAACCATGAAATAGTCTGCACATTATGTCAGTGGTTCCCAATCTGGAGGTCACCAAACCTTCACAGGGGGTCACAAGGATTTTAAGAGGGGTAAGAAAACTTTAATATACACAGTAGGCCTGTATGTCAGCATTTTATTCATTTCTGTGAAGAAAACTAAATGAAATTGTTATTGTTTGTTTGTTTGTTTGTTTTCCTGAACACAAACTTTATCACTCTCTAATTGTTCACATGTTCACCATTTGGGTTAATTGTACAGTTGATTAGTTGTTCTGTACAGTTATTGTTATTGCATTGAATATAATATGAAATGTGCATAAAATATGTTGCTAAAAAAAGGTCTCTTAAGGAAAAAGGCATGCCTGTGTCAAGGAGAAGGGTTGGGACACTGCCTCTATATAAAACCATTTTGGTTTCTGTAGGCTATGGATTAAATAAACTAGATATACTGTATTATTAGTGAGATTTATAGGTGGTACCTTTTTACAGAGTCAGGTTAGGTCTTTGTGGTAAGCTAAGCAAACCGTCTCTTGACTGTAGAAGTTCATGTTTAGAGTACAGGCAAAAAGGCTTTTTCTCATAAACTTATAAAAACAGAAAAAACTTTAAATTTACCATCTTACTTGTTTACTAAAAATAGATTTTCATGGTTTTTCAGGACCACCTTTGAAATAAAAAACTATCAGTGAGCCGGTGCTACTCAGGCTTATAAATGACTGGAAACATTTGTATAAATTCTGAGATGACAAAAAAAAAAAAAAAAAAGGAACCTGTCCTTTTAGACCTCAACAAAGTCAAAAGTAATTTAGATTCAGGTGACTCGTTCTGGGTCAGCTATTCTCCTAATTCTATTGACACGAAGAGTCGGGGGTCAGAGAGAGCTAACAAGACACATTCCCTCAAGAGTTTCTCCCTTTTTGTGTCTTTGAGAAAGTAAGAGCGAGTGTCGAACTTAACCAAGTGCTGAGCCCCCTCATTAATCACACAGAAAGCAGAGGAACCAGTGGGAGCTGTCCTACATCCCAGGGACACACACACACACACACAACACACACACACACACACACACCTTAAAATAACTGGGACCATCATAAATAACACCACAAAACTCTTAAATAAGGGCTGCAGCATTACTCAACACCTCACAGTGCTCGATACAGCTATTAAGAGCACTGGAAGACAGGGCGATGCACGAGCTGTTGAACAGACAGCAGTGATTGTTTTATCCTATTTGTATGTTAATGGCCTGGAAGCTATGCAGTGTTATGCAGGGATTAATCTGACTTTATGTGATGACAGACAAGTATGGAGGGCAAATATTGTGCCAGCTGCGATGCCGGGTGGTGTTCAGAACATCCAGCCAACCACAGACCAGTCCAGCCAGAGCCGGTTTGTTTTTACTCAAATCAAAACCTTAATGCTAAATGTCACCTGAAACAATCTAGTTTCCCTTCCTAAAATTGGACAAGAGACTACAAGAGCAGATATTCAGCATGACTAATCAATGTTGCAGTGTTACATAATCAGAAACGTGTGTTGCATATCTCTATGGGCTCCAAATTTGGTGATTTCAGGCTGAGACTCTGCTGATGAAAGCCTCTCTAAATCCAGGCTGGAAAGGTCAAAAATGCACAGTGATCGGGCCAAAAAAAGAAAGAAAAAAAAAGGTCTGTTATGTCAGTTTGGGGATACATTTTGTCTGGACAGTAGGTATGTGGTACCAGACGAGTGTGAGAGACAATCAGTTCAGAAAGCATGGAGTTAAAAAGCAGCCAGGGTAAACATAAAACAGTTTTTGGCAGGCTGTTTGGTCTGGGGATGGATGGAGCACATTTCCAGGAAGTGGATGCCTTTTCCAGTACGATATTTGTTGGAGAAGGGACAAAAAAATGTTTCCGTATGACGGCAAAAACTAAAATCGGACGTGACGAGTCGGTGGCCAACCTAAAGAAAATAAACGAGTCGAGAGAGACAAACCAGTGCTGAAATAGTATTTTTATTAAATACTTTCAAGATCCAAGTTCGAAGAATAACAAAGCTATGATGAAGACCAACTAACACTCAGACAAACACTTGATAGTCGTCAATTCATGGTTGTATTTCATTGTACATCATGATCATGCAAAAAAACTCCAGCATCCATGTGAAGGCTGGGGGAGAAAGCGCAGCCCAATAGTATATCATTACAACGCAGGGAAAACGCTAACATCGAGGGCCTCATACCAAGCTACGGCTCCTGAATCCTTTTTTTAAAAATTTTGCGTTTTTTTAAATATTTTTCATGTCACCTATTCAACATTCTGGATGGAGGAAATTCTTATTTCAAAAGATGCAAATATCATATATTAACACTAGCTCCATCCTTATTCAGGTAGGTACATGGTAGAAATGCGTAACTGAAACATGCATATAACTAGGTCTCCCGCTCTGGTTCAACAGTGTAGGTCACAAAAACCTGCACACCCACACCAACTCTTTCTCTCTCTCTCTCTCTCTCTGGCTTTCACAACTCCTCTCAACTGAGCAGGCACGATTTAAAACCACCAAGGGTAGATTACATTTATAAATAATTTAGTCTCGATCAATCTATGAATCGCTCAATCTGTAAATTTTGTGTTGTCTTTACTTCTTCCCTCTTTTCCCTTTTTTCTGTTTTTTTTTTTTTATTTCCTGTGTGCGAGGGAGAGTGCAGAACTCCAGCTTGGCAGATCGGCAAATTACCAAACGACAAAAGTTAACAGCAACAGCGACGACAACAAAAAAACTCAAACCAGTAACACGGGAACAGAGAAACGACAGAGAGAGGTACAAATAAACATCTCAAGAGTAGGGACTCGTTGGTACACAGGGTGGGGGGAGAGGGAGATATCGGAGGGGAGAGGGGGAGAGTTTTTAAGATACGACTGTCGCGGATGGATGGAGACAATTAAGCAGCACAGCAAGGGTGGCACCGTGGTCACACAGCAGTGGTGCAGATATGTTACAAAGCCTAAAACACACCACCAGGCGTGTGTGTGTGTGCATATGATATGAAGAGACGGCTCACAGCATTGTGGGAGGAGTTAAGGACACTATGATGAAGGTCTTCATGTTTAAAAACTCTAAAAAGAGTCTTGTTGGGCACAGGAGTCACAACTATTTTCAACCTGTTATTTCTTTTTCTTTTTTTTTTACTCCCCGTCTCTAAAGAACAGCTCTTACGGCCACGGGACTTTTACGAGCTGCGCTAGCCCACCGTGTGAGTGCGTGGTGTGTGTGTGTGAAGAGCTACCAATATTTTAAGGAAGTACTTTAAGGAGGAGAACTATAACAAATTGAAATCGGTGAGGAAAATGTTGCTCCTAAACTAGACTGGGGGTCACAGAGGTCACGGGGGGTTCCCATGCCCAGATGCACAGGATGAGTGTCTCTTAGATACATGTACATATATTACACTTTTCTACATATATCTATACATACACTGTATTTACACAGTGATTATAAACAAACCAGGCCCTTGCAGAAAGCAGAGAAAGGGAGCAGGAGGGGAGGGTTAAAAGAGGGAATGGTTTAAGAGAGAGAAAAACGGAGAGAGGTTGGGGATGAATGAGGGAGAGGCGGCGGGCAAACATGCAAAACGCAGACGCCTTTCCCGGCGCACTCTGTCCCTCCACTGCATACAGACACAACAGAACGTGTTAACGCGTGCAGGTTAGCTTTAAACTTGCACAATAAAATCCCTCTTTTTAAAAACTCAGCTGCTTTAAAAAGGAGCCTCGAATACAGGATCAGTCAGACGGAGAAATAATTAAAAAAAAGAAGAAAAAAAAAGGCTCCGGTTATTCACAGGAACGCAAAAGGGAACAGGACGCTAAAAATAACAAAACATGTGACCTCAAAATCAGACGCCCGCCCATCCCCGCCCCACCCAAAATCCCACAACAACACGATTTTCCGTTCGGTCGGAAAAACAAGCACACAAACAAAAACACGTAAACACATAAAAAGCCTAAAGTTCTACACTTTGGTGCTTCATGTTTTTGATATCAAGTTTCTCTCGTCATCAAGTTCTCTGACTGAGCCGACTTGATTTTTTTTCCCTCTTGAATTCAGTTGGGGAAAATCTCCCTACATCTTTACATCAACGTCCGGGTAACGAACACTTTCTACCCGGTAATCCCTAGAATGCCAAAAAAATGTGTCCAAAATCTCAGCTGCTAACCTCACACTCCCTTCTGTTCCTCCCTTATTAGATAGTGAATATAAATGCTTGGTTGGGTTTTGGTGGTTTCTGGTACATCTAGTCATAATTTACACAGCATATTCATAACTCATACTCATAAACTGTCACAAGTTCAACTGTAAATCCTCTCCTCACGCAGGACGTCTCATCTCGCGCGGGCAGAAAAAAGATGGCTGCCAGGGGAGGGATAGAGGGCAAAGACGCGCCCTCCAATCAGGCGCCAGATGCATGCATCATCCCATGGGGGCGGTGTCTTGTGTTCAGCCGGCCCCCAGCAGGTCAAAGGGGGGACAGGATTGGTTGGTAACGTGGAGAGGGATGCGATCTCGCCCGGCCGGGCTCCTGGCACTAGCCAATCCACGCAGAGGACGTGCCTCTTAAACACGCTCGCTGAAAAAAACTGCCCCCCAAAACACACACTCCAGTAGACTGGAGGCTCAGGACCACTGGGGGGATGAAGAAGAGGAGCAAATTAGTCTGTGTTTACTCAATATGCTTCACTAGTGGCTGCAAATTGTCTGAAATGAACCCAGCATAGTTTAAAGAATAATTCTAGTTTACTTTTGGATCTTATTTTCGTAGTTTTGGCCATTGTTTCAATCAGTAATAATAACTTTGCACATGTGGGAAAGATGCAGAACGTTGCCAAAAAAGGAGTCGAGAAGCACGAACAGTCGCATGATCAGACAGGTTTTAAAAAAAGTGTATTTGGGAGCATTAGTTGGCCTTTTAGAAAGGTAGGTAGAAGGCTGACAGGAAATGGGGGGAGAGTGTGGGGTGGGGGTTGGCAGAGGTCCCCAGCTGGACTTTATTCGAGGACGTTGCGATTACATGGCAGCTTCTTAACCTTCAAGGCCACTGAGACGTCCTCAGACAGGTTTTAAACAAACCTCCAAGTTAGCCAAACGTATTTAAAAAGGAGAAAACTACTATTACCTAAACTGTCTGTTGTAGATATTTATCACAGTTTACACTCTGACTTTAAATTATATACTTAATTTAACCTTTTGTTATTGCAATACTTAGAGTTATGAGCATTATTGTATATTTCTTGTAGTGTTCTCAGTGCAATGTTATCGTCATCGACAGAACTAATGGCCAAAGATAAGAAAATGAGACCCAAGTTGTAATAAACCACATTTTTTTTCCCTTTAAGACAATCTGTGATCCAAACGTAAGCCGAGTGAATCACCTTCACCTTCAAAATATCAAAACACATGACTGCAAACTGCCAAACTGGCTGAATTTTAATATACCTCAAAATTATATGGTTGAGAAAATTACAGATTTAACGTTTTAACAGCCAACTGTGAGTCTGTACAGGTCAGTGTTGCTGTTAGAGTAGATTAAATGTCCAGTGTGTAACATTTAGGAGGATCAATTGGCAGAAATGGAATAAAAGGTAAAGGTATGTTGTGTTTTTATAATCAGGTCCTTTTCTACAACTTCACCAGGTTTTTACAGTAGTTTAGAACGGACAAACCAAACACTGGCTCTATAGAGGGCCTTTCCCTAGTTTCTCCTACATGCTTGCAAGGTGAGGGTGAGGCGAGGGTGTTGTAACCTGCAATTACATTACTAGATGCCACTAAAAATTGTACACACTGGTCCTTTAAATTATCAAACCTATACTTGAAACCTTTCAAATTATTCCGACAACAGAAGGCTTTATTTGTGTTCTGCATTTGATGTAGTGTATTTCATTGCCATTTTCTAATTCTGCCTATAGTGGTTTGTTTGTGTGTGTGTGTGTGTGTGTGTGTGTGTACCTGATCACTGTAGTGGTGCAGCAGGCGCTCCTGAGCAGTGGAAGTGAACATTGAGCCACTTGCCCTCGCGGCGATGCCACACCCTGGTCTCCTCCGATTGGCTGGAACGAGGGCGGCCCGTGGTGTCCACAAACTGTGTGAGCCGGATGTAGGCGATGCACGCAGCGTCCTCGCCGATCAGGTGCACGTGTGGATTGAGCAGGGTGGTGTGCACAGGCTTGCTGTTCTTGCTCAGCACTGGATGAAATCAACGAGACAGAATATTGATCCTTACATAGCAGATAGGCTAATGGATTTGGGGGTTAACAGTATTTTTCCCTTATTTTCTGTATTTGAGGTCTCTTTGGTTAATGTGAAAGGTTCTTAGATGTACAATATGTAATTTAAGTTAAGAAGTAGGGATCATGGGAGTTGTTGTCTGTCATTGCTGTTATTGCTTCAGCTTCTCCCGGTTAGTGTTCATCGTTTAGGAGGTTTTCTACTTGGGCCGAATTATGGGCAGAGGTCAAACAAACAAGACCCGGTGATTAAAACCGTCAAAAACACTGAATAAAGCAGTTTCACCTTTAAAAGCAGTCAAAAGACGACAGATTTACTACATATTTACCAAAAACTGACAACACTTTCCGGTGCTCTTCATCCTATGAGATGAAGCTTCGCCTGGCCAGAGCTCTTGGCAGATTGAAATAGACAGACGTATTGTGTGTGTACAAGAGGAGACTTACAGTTTTCAAAGTAGAACTTATGGAAGTCCATGCCCTCCACCAGGTTCCCCAGGGCCTCGGGTTCAAAAGAGGTGAGTCCAGGATCGCAAATCCTCCTGAGAAAGAAAACCAAACGGGTGAGAAAGTAAGAGTGGGTGAAAAGATGAAGACATTAGAGCGGAGAAACAGAGAACACAAAGAGCAAGAATAAAGACAACACTAAAGAATGCCGTTAGAACATTACACGCATTCCTCTTTGTACTGTTTTTCATGAAACTCATGCAGTTGTACTCACGTGTAGGCATCGAAATCTCCATTGTTAATCGCTTCAATCAGCTGCTCCGTTATCTTGATGATCTCCTGTTTACGAGCTACAGAGAGAGCAGGCGAGAGAGAGAGACAGACAGACGGTAAATGATGAGAAGTCAGTTAGAAGATGAGACAACAATTAACTATGTGGTGGTTTTGCTTGATGACATTTTCTGTCTCGTCTCTTTCCTCTGCGGCTACAAGCTCGACACTCGTCTTTAACCTCATTGCTTGGTCCGAAAGCAGCTCGACCCTCATCACTGTCTGTCGCTCTGCTTTCACCTTCTGTGCAACACAAAAACTGACTAAACACTCCTCTCTGCTGTGTGAGCACACA